CAAATATTATGTAAATGGACTAGTTAATGTGAGAACATGTTTACCCATAAAAAAAAAGTATGATAGTGTGTCGAGCAAAATCCTCTATCATTTTCTTTTCTCCTTTCATCTACTTAGTGAAAGGATACCGTAGCGGATTACCTTGTACAAGTGTAGCGGATATGCTATATATTACTGATTCTCACCTAATCCTAAAATGTGTGTGGTATATATATAAAAATAATGTCCATATATTAAATTAACTTTAACTGCGAGAAAAGACTTAAACATTGTTAAATTTTATTTCCTTTCAAAGATAGGTAAGAAAGTCCTTTTTTTTTTTTTAATGTATATTGGATTATTGGAAAAGAAATTAATAAATAAGTGTGCGTGAGGTCTTGTGACCTTCTGTCTTATGCTTATCATTCCAGCTTGGGCACAAGATATCTTGTGAACCTGTCTTTGCTTGTCCACTCTGCCCACGATATCATCCATGCATGGAAAATGAAGTTTAGTTTGGATTGAACAACAAAACCTTCCAAATCAACACCTTTGTTTCTCACCATAGCTGCTTTTTCTTCTTCAACTCATCTTCTATATCATTTGTCTATTCACCATAATAACAAATCTAGCTCTCAACTTTCACAAAATTCACCAAATATTTCTATTAAAAAAATTGACTTCACATGTTCAATTGGTATCAAGCGTGGAAACTAAAAATAACTAATGTGGTATTTTTAACCTTTTACTATAAGAATCGTGGTCAAGTCACTCCAATATATATAATTAGCGCCAATAGCGGCTTCAAAGCTTCACTTCATCTGGAGGGTCCTCACTCCTTATACTATACATCCGTAAGCCCTACAAAATGCTACTAATTCTCGATGTCATCCCATCAGAACAATAATCAATACATTATCCGATCCAAACATTTTATCGATGTTTTGTAAGTTTATTATAAGAAACGTTTCTAAAATGCAACAAATGTTCGCCTTTAAGATCAATTACGTTTCTGTGCATTTTGTTTCAATATACATGAATGTGACTATAACCTTCATTGAGTTATAGGGTAATCCAAGTGGTTCAATAACTTGAGTGGCAGGACCATGCAAACACAAGATCGAGTAATAACCCAACCAATCTTGCAGAGCATGATTGATCCACCTAGGATAGCTTCTTGATGACTAGCAAGTTGGGATAACCTAAGTCTATAGATACACGAAGCAATTAGAGGCTAGGATTGACATTTGAAAAACATGTCTACACGACAACTAAGTTGACTAACAGATCACATTCCTTCTCTAATGAGAGTGGGCCATGTCAACCACCCTACTTAGCTTGTCACTGGCTATCATGTCACGCGGCCAAAACATCCTTAGTATAAATAAGCCCCATATCACCATATGCCGATTGATGTACCATTAATATCATCTATATATTCATTCACATGTACCTTCTCATGTACTTTTAGTAGTCACTTTGATATTTTTGATCTACATATATTGGATCAGCCACACATATTCATATAAACTCTTTAATACAATTTTATTTTCTTATCTCTATTTTTCGATTAAACTGTAAAATCGCAATATTTTTTACGCTATCGATCAAATCTATATAAACAAATCTCTTTTCTTTCAAAACAAATCTATATAAGTATCATATACAAAATTTTACACCATTGTGCATAAAAGCGTCACACCAAACTAGAAAGTGGTAGAATAATTTACATTATTAATTTTGTAATTGATTTGGTGAAAATCCATTTCAGCTCAACTTTATCCATCAGCAAGTCTGATTTACACCAAAATTCATGGGTGGGAATGCATCATTTTCAGAATAGTTTTGTCTCCTTACGTGTAAAAGGATGTCTATACTCTATAGTAGACTGTCTACTATACGCTTCATGCAATTCTCATCGTCTAACAAACCGACCCATATCCACTTCTCTTACTTCACGTAAACCTCCCTCCCTAAACATAACTTTCATCACTCAAAAAGTCAAAACTAGTAACAACAACTCCCTAAAATAAATCAAATTTGTAAGGAATTTTTAAACTATCAATCACCACTGTATTGATTTGTATTAGATGCACATTTTTATGTTATTTGGTATAAATTTGATACAATAAAAATAAATATTTTCATAGTAGTAACCCGTCTAACTAGAAATATTATGAGTTTTCGCCAATGACCATAGTCTAGTGACACGAAGTTGCTCTTCCAAATGGGAAGTAATGGGTAGGTTCAATCTCCGGTAGGATGGTATTGACTTTTTGTATTACAAATTTGTAAAACAGCCTGCGAATCAAGTTTTCTCTAGCATTGCTAGGGATGTTGTTTCTATGTCTGACTGTGATAAATGTTTAACCATTTCATCGGTCTTTATTATAAACATTTCAGCCTATGATAGTATGATTAATGAATTAGCTTTTTAATTAAAAAAAAAAAAATTATGGAACTAACTCGATCAATTACCGAGGAAGGGGATTTTTATGGTTCTACATGCATATAAATTAAAGTAAACAAGATATAAAAGTGTTAACATGAAGACTAAAGTGGTGAAAATCACATTACTCTTTGAGCCATGGCCGGATTTTATAACAACACATTACCTCAATTTTTAGATGGCCAATAATATTTATTGTTGACCTAACTACTTAAGAAATTAAAAAAAAATCTACAATTAATCTTAAAATTCATCAGTTTTTCCCAAATTACGTTTCTCTCCTAGTAATTAGGACCTAATTAATTGAGAATGTCAAATCATGCTGTAACTGAAAAGAAGAGTAATATATTTTACGGTGATTTTAAAAATTGCACTTATACTTTTGATAGAGCCTCATTTATTTATAAAAAAGGGAACCACAAAAAAAAAATAAAAAAAAATACCCTGCTTTGAGCTGAGTCATGCCAAACTTCACCATGTTTTAGAGTGTGTTAATTAGTACATTATAGTGCTCATGATAATAATATTTTGTAGAGTTTATAATAGAATTTAGGGAACTTGTAGCAATATAATTCTCAAGAGTTTGGTCTCTCTTTTTTTTTTTTTTTCTTGGTTGTGGACCTTTTAATTGCAGGAGAGAATATGTAACGTTCATAGTAAGACATTCATGGATATTGATGGTATGTTACGTTAATGGTTATTCATTGTTAGGTAATGCCTATTTATGGTGGATAATTATGGTATAATTGGTGGTAATAGTAATATTTATCATAATAATAATTTATATATTATAGATAAATAGTGGCATAATTAGTGGGGTAATATGCCAAAGTTAACTACTTAACTAGGTCAATCATGTTTACACCCTACTCATTTATTTATCTTTTTTTCTTCTAAAAAGGTTGAATCTCCAACCCTGGACTCTCCACAGCTCACCCGACAAAACATCTGGATCCCCTAACTTTGAGAGGTTGCTCCTAGATGCTAGAATTCCCACCACTTTGAGAGGTTGCTCCTACACTAACTGAACCCTAAATCTTTACTTACTGCGCACAAGAAATCTCTCCCACTTTGAGAGGTTGCTCGCACACTATCGCTGGTAAAACTCGACCCATGGTCATTCTTTCCAATTTCACCCCTATAACCAATTGAGTTGTCTATGCGGACATTTATTTATCTTTTTTGATTGAGTAGGGTATAATCTCTTCTCTCAAAATGTTGAATCTCTAACCTCAAGTGCCTCCATATCCTGGTCTGACAAGTTGTTAACGAACTGAACATACTACCTCCGTCTCATTTTATGTGTCTGGTTTAATTTGATTAGCGAAGCTTGACTGAAATTATTTTTAATCCAATTTTTCATAATATTAAGTTTAGTATTAGTATCCAAAATTTATACATTTAATATTAATACCTTGTGCTCAGATGGCATCTGTGTTGAACTTCCATATGGGAGGGGTGGTTGTGAGTTTAAGCCTCATATGTGGCGTTATTGACTTTTTATGCTTCAGGTTAAGAAAGAATTGGTTTAAACAAAAAATGGGGCAATGAGTAGAATATTATCCCTTTTTGCACTTTTGTATTATCGGAATGTCTGTTTTATACTTTCTCTAATATTTCAACCCAAAGATTCAATGTCTCATAACCGCAGTTCAATACTATGACCACTGAAATGCTATAAAAGTGTTATCACACTAAATACCAGGATTAGCAGTTGACACAGATTAGATACGGAGTATTACATATACTGAGTATAATTTTTTTAAAGTACTATATAAGGATGTTAGCGAACAGAGCTTTCGGTAAACTACTCGTGTTCGTGTTCGGTGAGCGTTCGTTTATGTTCGTTTATTAAGGTAAATGAACATTGATAATCAAAATTAGAGCTCGGTTTATAAACGAACAGAGTCTAAACAGTTGTAAGCTCGTTTGCTAAGAGATCGTGAACAAACTCGTTTGTGTTCGTTTAATAATGTTTGTGAACAAGCTCGTTTAGTGTTCGTTTATAATGTTCGTGAACAAGCTCGTTTGTGTTCGTTTAATATTTGTTTGTATTCTCTTTGTAGTTGTGTTACTTGTTTAGTTATTTTTCATGAATATATAGTATTTCTTGTTCACAAACGAATTGTGGTCATGAACATGTTCATATGTTTGGTTATTAAGGTTTATGAACGTGAACGAATATGTTCGTGAACGTTTTTGTTAATATTAACGAATATGTTCGCGAACGTTAACAAATGAACACAAACAAAATTTTTAAAAATCTTTAACAAATGAACACAAACACTCCAAAATCCTTAACAAATGAACATGAACAACCTTATTTGTTTATGTTCGGTTCGTTAACAGCTCTAACCGAGTATAATAAAACTCCATTGGAATAAAACTCCATTGGTATATATACACAATATACACACTACAGTATTACAGATTTCACCGTCTCTCTCGCTCTCGGGTCCACGCTAAGACGCCCCGTTTCTCTCTCTACCTTTTCCTTGTCTACTCTCTGTACGTACACACACACACTAGTAGGGGACTGTGTGTCCTTTTTTTTTTTTTTTTTCTTTTTTTCCTCCACATTCTATCTCTCTCTATCTTTCTCCATTTCTCTCTCTGAAAAGTCTGTATGTATTGACGTTGTGTGCGGTTCAGTTGGGCTCCATGAATGCTTTAGAGAGAGAACAAGAGAGAGAGAAAAGGCATCAGGCATCGCTTCCAAGGCAAGCTTAAAGGGGAAAAGCTTAGGAAAATAATATCCAAACACTCTCTTATTCTTCTTCCGCTCTATCCATACCACACGAAAACACGCAGTGAGTGTGAATGTGCGTGAGAGATTGGCGCAGCTAATTATGATGGGGGAATGATGATGTTTTTCGTCACTTGTTAGATCTTCATCCCTCCCTCATTCCGAAGATTCGTTTGCTTCTCCCTGTATCTGTATTTTTTTATTTTTATTTTTGTTGTTGTTCAATTCATACGCAAAGCACATAGATTTCTCGGCTCGCGTGGATGATTTGATGCTAATCTGACTGATTGAAGGTACTGAAATTCCATTCTATTTCCTGTGTGTTTTTACTTTTTCCGGAGAGTTGTATATTTTATTTTACTCCAGTAATTTGGACTTCCGGAGCGATTGCTAGTTAAACTTTTTTGAGCTAGAAATTGTCGAATACAGCAGTAATTTTTATTTTTATTTTGCGGCTAGTTTTATTTATTGCTTTTTTATAGGACCGATAATTTACATTTTAGAATGCAGTTGACCGCGTGGATTTTTATTTTTAAAAATAAGCTGGAAGACTGATGTAATAATAATTGAATGTTTAGGAACGATTTTGTCAATTTCTGCTAATGTTGATAAACATACTCCATTGAATTTTTCGGTAGCTAAAATGACTACAAGACAAGGAACAAAATCTCAAAAATCGAGCTCAAGAGTGGCGAATTCCCCAACGTCATCAACTACTTCATCATCAAAACAGTTCCCGGAAAATTTTATTGACGGCGTGAGTTCGCCGGCGTCATCATCCGCCAGGAGTAAGCCTCAGTACTATTACACTGAAAATTTACCTCTGAATGCGGAAAGGTCCAAGGAAAATGTTACGGTGACAGTGCGGTTTAGGCCTCTAAGGTACAGCTATAATTTCTGAAGTTACTCTGTAATGCTTAGCTGTTGCCTGTCTACTTATGAGTATTTAATCTGGTTGATTGTTGGAGCAGCCCAAGAGAGATTCGACAAGGGGAGGAAATTGCATGGTATGCAGATGGTGATACTATTGTGAGGAATGAGCATAATCCATCAATAGCTTATCCATATGGTATTTTCTATTATGTTGATTTATTGTTATTCATGTATTCCATATATTTCCTTTATTTTGCCAACTTAATAAGAAAATAAAAAACATTGTCTTATTGTTTTTGAATTATTTTTAGCTTATTTGTAAAAAAAAAAACTAAAAAAAAACTGTGCAGTTAGTAATGTATTTCTGATGACTTTGCCAAAATATGTATGGGCTGATGTCATCAGCTGCAAAATAAAAATCAGTTGTTAGTTGAGCTGGTGAACCTGTTAAATGGTCAGGTAAAGAAAAGAATTTGCATAAGGCGGTTTGTGTCAATAGTTTGAAATTATGACTTGGGATAGAAAACAAAAAATAAAATCCCTTAAATAAACCTTTTTGCTCATTTCTTTGGTTATATAACTATACAATTTTCTTGTTGAGCTATTGCTCAATTTCTATCTAAATCTTACCTGTAAATATGTTTGGTTGTTTTTCAGATAGAGTTTTTGGCCCTACAACAACAACGCGCCATGTCTATGATGTTGCTGCTCAGCATGTTGTTAGTGGTTCCATGGAAGGGATCAATGGTAAATAATTCAGTAAATTCAAACTATTCTGTTGATTCTTCAAGCAAATTAGCAAATATGTACGAGTTCTGGCATGCTGAAGATGATTGGCTAGAGAATACTATACCTCTAATCAGTGAGCTGATGCACTGTTGCTGTACTAAGTCCAAAATGCCTCAAACAAAGGAGAGATAATAATGAATCACAAGATTGCTAGTTCCATATTATGCAAGAGATATGTGGTTTCTTGAGATCCTTTGCTGAAAAGTGGTATTGATACTAACTGGGTTAAAAAGGCTGTAGGTTGGTTCTCTTGAGTACCTAAATTTGTCCTGGGTTGTTTTTGAAACTCATTTTCTATAGCAGTCACATTTTAAGGTCAAATGGAATGAAATTGGAGTTGGATTATAGTATAAAATACGGAGTATATAATTGGTTTATCTACAGCGAATTGGAAATACCACGTTTTTGTTTTAGAAATTCTGTGGAGTTTCCTCATAGAAGATGCTTTTCTGGGATCAAATGCAGTTTCATGAATAACGATTTGTGGAGTTTGACTAAGCTGAAGTGCAGTGTGTTAGTGAAAAATCAGAGAGTTGAAGTCCATACCTAGCGAGCTTGGAAACTGGAAGCAAAGATTGAATGGTCTTGTTAGTCAGAAATAGTTAGGGTAAACAAAATTTGGCCTAGGTAGCCTGTCAACGCAAGAAGCTGGTTGAGTTGAATTTCAGAATTGCTTTTGTAATTAGGATTTTAAGTGGTTTCTATCTTCTGGTGCAATCTTACTGGGATGGTGAATTTTGCTGTATCCTTGTGTGATATGGTGCGACTATACAAATACGAGACAGATGCTGGAAATTCGTGAAATTGTGCAAATGCACATCCCGGATGAAGTATTGAACTGCAAACTTATCTTTAGTCCACAAATTTGATACTCTGATGCAGTTTGCAATGATAGCGATACTATCTTGTATGGATTGGTTTACACTTAAGTAATTTGGGGATAAGAAAATTTAATGGCTAGGATCTGACTAATCTGTGTTATCAGCAGTCAAAATGATTCTAAATTATGCAAGACATTATAAATAGTGATATGCGGAGTCATTTGCTTTGAAAACCATATATGGTTATACTCTCCAATTCTCCATTACACCGACATGTGTTTTTGCTTTGAAATTCTTAGAGTTCTGTAAAGTATTGGATCCTCGACCAAGAATTTCCTATGAAACCATTTAATTCATATTACCTAGCTCACTAGCTGTCCTCTCATTATGTTGCATAATTTTTGCACAGTTGATTTTTCTTTCAATCATTATGAAAAAATTTCCTTTTTGAGTATTATTGCTAAAGCTGAGTTACTGAGTAATTCTTTTTTGTTTTCATTCAACCACAGGTACAATCTTTGCATATGGGGTTACAAGCAGTGGGAAAACTCACACCATGCATGTAAGAGAATGCCATCTCTGAATCTAATTCTTCAAATTCAGTATCATGAGTGCTACAAGACCATGGTAACATTCTTGTGTCAATCATGAGTGCCTACTAGTAATGGAGCCAGAATTATGAGATGGGGAACCAAATTTGTCTATAGATGGACCTTACTACATTTGACTAATTTCATTCAAATTTTACTAAACTTTAAGGAGTTAGAAGATTTTTTTTTTTTTTAGTTTGCAGGGATAGAGTGGGGGCCCACTACCCCTCTAAGGAGGCCATGCAAATGTGAACTTAGAGTGTTCATAAGGTTTCTCCAATGAAATATTTCATATTAGGCTTTCTTTTGTCTTGTTTACTTGGTTAGGACTTAGGAGTTAGGACAGATTTGATCACTTTTTAACTTCAAAGACTTGAAAAGAGATCCTTTTTGCCTTGATGCCACACATGACTACTGATATGCTAGGTGTTTAAGGTAAATAATAACTACATTATCTGTCAGATCAATGAAACATCTGACAAGCTTTTATGCTTTAATTGTGTATAGGGAGATCAAAGGTCCCCTGGTATTATACCATTGGCTGTGAAGGATGCCTTCAGTATTATTCAAGAGGTACTTCACTGCACTTGCCATACTGCTTATACTATGTCAAGTATTATACTCTGAGATAGATGCTAAACTGTAGTTTCTTGATGTTTTAGACTCCTAGCCGAGAATTTCTGCTTCGCGTGTCCTATCTGGAAATCTATAATGAGGTACGCTTTTATGGTTAATCAGATTAGTCCTGGTTTACTTTTCCTCGTGTGTCATATACTCATATCTGGAAACTTCCCTCATGCCTAATGCTAGAAGAAACTTTGTTCAATTATTCAATACTTTATTTTCATATCCATCTGCTACTGCCAGTTCTAATTATGTGATTTTTTTCAGCATACGAAGTTCTGTTTATTATTAGGCATTAATTACTGAACTTTTTTTTTTTTTTTTGAAAAATACAATTTCATGTCACGTTGATCTGGACAAAGTCTTTATTTAGGTTCTGCTTTTGTAACAGGTTGTTAATGACTTGCTGAATCCAGCTGGACAAAATCTAAGAATAAGAGAGGATGCTCAGGTACTTGACTTGAGTGCTTATAACTCATTTTTGTCTCTTCCCACCACCAAAACAAATATTTTTAGCAATTTTGTTGGCTCTGTGCTGTTTTACAACTTTGATTGACACACCAAATCACCAATGCCTGCTTTGCTTCTTGGCACAATAAGTTAATGAATATAAATCAACTGGTAATAACTACTTCGAAATATTCAAATTAATTCTTTACTTTACAGCAAATAGTGAATGTTATCCTGTCAAAGCACCTATATCATTCAGCTATTGGAATGCCACCTAGTTATTGTTTGGTCATTTTTATGAAGTTTATCCTTAAATCTTTGTTAAACATTAAATTTCATAATTTCTCGCTTCCATGTGTCTAGTTCTCATAGATTGACCCCTTTGGATGTATGTTAATTTTCTTCACCATTTTATTCATGTTGATTTTGCCACATCGTTTTATCAGAATTTGTTATAACAAAACACATGTAAGTGGGTTTTTTACTCTTTATTTATTTATTAAATGTCTGATGATTTAGATCTAGCCGCTTTTACAGAAGTATTAGACTGTAATGTTTTACAGGGGACCTTTGTGGAAGGAGTCAAGGAAGAAGTTGTTCTATCCCCTGCTCATGCCTTATCCCTTATTGCAGCAGGGGAAGGTAAGTACTTCTGCCTGATCTTTTCTTATACTCTCTAGTCAATAGTGTGTTGAGAAATAAAAATTGTGTGTGTTTTTCATTTAAACATTTACTTAATTTATTTCATACATTCTTGTCCAGAGACAAGTTTTAAGTCTTATTTAGCAATAGCAATCTGCACTTGAAGCAAATATTTTGATCAGATGTTTTGAACTGTTATTCATTCAAGATTTTCAAATTTTGAGAAGTTGACATCTGAGTGTTGAATCCTAAAGCCATTTCATAGTATTGGATGCTGAAGAGTGCTGTTTATATTATAGAATTTGAATACAAAATCCTATCAGAGGGCAATCATGTCTATTTCAGGGAATGTGGAATGTATTGCATACTGGCTGCCAATCACTCAGAGGTTGCTTCAGTGCACCTCTGATCTCCTATTAAAAATGGAGCAATCTCAGTGTTGTGCCAAGACTGACCTCGTTGTTCTTCTGTATAGGATTCAATGTAAAGATAACTAAATTGGTAAATATTGTTATTGGCTGAATGAAGTATAGAATGTGATTTTCCCTATTGGTTTTGTTTAGTTCACCTGAATGTTTATAAATATTCCTTAACTTGCCGACAACAGAATCTTGATTCAAGAAACTAAGCCGAACTAGAATTAACTTTTAGCTCTGGTTTGCAATTAGAATAGTGGCAAAATAGTTTACAACCTTTTCAAGTAAGAGGTTGTTAGAGTTACTGGTTTGCAACATATTTGCTTGAGAATTGATTGTCTTTTTATTTTTTACTTGCAATCTGAATACAATCGATATTCCTTTGTAATTTCATTTCACTTTCTTTTGAGCTGCTTTGATAAAATTTGGTTTCTTTTTTCAGAGCATAGGCATGTTGGTTCTACAAACTTCAATCTACTGAGCAGCAGAAGTCACACAATATTTACGCTGGTATCTTACATCTTATTGATGGATTTCAATACAACCTTTATTCTTTTTCACAGTACTTACTGATACATTCATATCGCCCTGAAATGTCTTCCAAAGTAACTTGTACTTATTTTCCTCATAACAGACAATAGAGAGTAGCCCTTGTGAAAATACTGAAGGCGAGGCTGTTAGCTTATCACAACTGGTAAATAAACTCACCGTAGACTTGTATATATTGTGTCATTTTTATGTCATTTATTTTAGTGCCTAATTTGTCCTCTTCTATTTAAATGTGTCCATGGCCATATGGATATTGACATTTAATACTTATAGTGAAATTGATTTTTGACTGACTTTAGCTCTTGCAAATGAACTTATTCTTGCAGCATCTCATTGACTTGGCGGGTTCTGAAAGCTCTAGAGCTGAAACTACTGGTGTCCGCCGGAAAGAGGGATCCTATATCAACAAAAGTCTGCTAACTCTTGGAACTGTGAGGCCTCAATCATCTTAAATAGGCCTTTCCCGTTACAAATTACTCTCAATTTTGTCCTGAAAAGTAAATCAATATAAGCAAATTACTGTCATTGTTGATTGTAATAGGTTTTGGTAAAGGGTAAATAGTATTACATACCTCAATCATACAGATGGGATCTGATAAAAAATCTGATAATTTCCACATTTAGACAAATTTGATAATAAGGTTAAAACATGAGAACTTAACTGTACTACTGTAGTAAGCTGTAAAGATGTGTATTTAAATTTTATGACTGCTATTATTAAAAGCAATGGAAAATACACTGCTGGTTCAGTTGACAAAGTAGTAAGCCATGTGAACCTGATCAAGTTCCTTTTTATTTTCTTCATTTAATTTTTCTTAAAAAAATTTATATAGTGTGCTAACTCCAGTTTTACAGGTTATATCAAAGTTAACAGATGAAAAGGCTACTCATATACCATACAGGGATTCAAAATTGACCAGGCTTCTTCAATCCTCACTAAGTGGTCATGGACGTGTATCTGTAAGGGTTTCTTACTCTTAACTGCATCTTTCTCAGAAACTGTCTGAACCTTCCATTGCAGCAGTTATATATATTACTGGGATTGACTCTAAAAGGTGGAGTTGTGTGCTTGAAATAACTGTATTTAATTTTATTGTTCGTGTTTAACAGCTTATCTGCACAGTCACTCCCTCATCTAGCAACTCAGAAGAAACCCATAATACATTAAAGTTTGCGCACCGTGCAAAACACATTGAGATTCAGGCATCACAAAACAAGGTCTTTGCACCCCAGATATCCATAATATGCAGTGTAATTCTTCGACCAATCTAGTACTTAAAGTAAACTGGTGAAATGTGCAGATAATTGATGAGAAATCACTTATCAAGAAATACCAAAATGAAATTCGCCGTCTGAAAGAGGAATTAGAGCAACTAAAGAAAGGCATTGTTACAATCCCACAAGTGAAAGATAATGGGGGAGAAGATATTACGCTTCTAAAACAAAAGGTACATCAGGAGTTGGTTTTAGCATTCTTGTTTATTTGACTCTTTTTCTCTCTTTTAGGAAAATCAGGTACATTTTGTATAATTTGATGGTCAGATTAAAATCAAGTCCTGAACTGCAACTTTGCAAGGGTCTTTTGATTATACTTTCCCTGCTACATTAAAAGCTTGCCTTTTGTCATCTTTTTAAAGTATTGTTTATGGTGGCAGTCAAAAATTCTTTTGTTTGCCCCAAATACAATTGTTTTATTTTCCTGTCTATAGTTCTTGCATTGACTTGTGGAAATCTTGTACTTTTTCTTGCTTATAAAGCTAGAAGATGGTCAGGTCAGACTGCAGTCAAGATTGGAACAGGAAGAGGAAGCCAAAGCTGCTTTACTTGGCAGAATTCAGCGTTTGACGAAACTAATTCTAGTATCATCTAAAGCTTCGCAGTCATCAAGATTGCCTCATCGCCCAGGTCCTAGAAGAAGGCATTCCTTTGGAGAAGAAGAGGTCTGTGTTTATTTGCCACCTTTTATTTTGCATTCTTTTGCAGTGATGGGGCATGTCACATGTGACATTACACTGTTCTAAAATTCTCATGATATCAACCTAAAGTAAAAACTTTTTCCTGTAATGTGATGATTAGTCTGATTTCTTTAACATATTTGTAGCTTGCATATCTGCCACATCGAAGACGAGATCTAATCTTGGATGAGGAAAACAATGATATGTATGTTTCCCCTGATTGCAATGTTGAATCTGTGGATGACACAGTAAAGGAAGAGAAAAAGGCGAGGAAAAATGGATTGCTCAACTGGTTAAAGCTGCGGGTATGTAGAATATGTTGGGACATATTTAGCCTTGCCAATTACTATTGTTGTAAAATGTAGATATTTCCTGGCTTCAAAATGATATTTTGGCAGCATATCTGTTATTGAAGTTTACTCTTGTAACGGTAGTGATCTTAAAGAACTACATTTTTATATGCTAATATATAATATTTGTATCTAGCAGAAACGGGAAGGTGGCAGTGGGACATTGGCAAGCACTAGTGACAAATCTAGTGGTCTCAAGTCAAATAGTACTCCCTCCACTCCACAAGCAGAAAGTGTTAATGCTCACATGGAATCCTTACCTACAGAAAGCACTAATTCTGCAGACCATTTATCAGAGGCCAGACCAGATAGAGAACTTCCTGGGGATAACTTTTTGGGACAAGAGACTCCCCTGGTAGGGCAATTTAATTTCCTTTATGAGATGGTTAATACACATGGAAAAGTAAATAAAAGAAACTATATAAAAAATGAATGTGAAAGACAATCTCCTTTCATTGTTATAAACCATCCTCTAAAAGAGGTACGAAAAATATCTTCTGGGTTAACTTGAAAAAATTCTTGTCTTGACTCTAATGCGTCTCATGCAATGTTTTGGGCATCAAGGATATAAAATTTATATAGAATTGTTATATCAAATTGTCAATGGTTACTAACCCTCACCCTTCCACAGAAATGGAAGGAATTTGGAATTTGGAATTCTATTTCCTGAAAAACAAGGAATTCAAGATGCATGTGTTTATTACGGATTAGTTTTGTTGAGTGACATTTATGATACAATTCACTTTTAAAAGTATGGAAATGCTGGAAATATTTCATGGAATATTCAAGAATGAATCTTTTACTATTTCCATTTAGGTTCAGGATAAAGACTCCAAGCATAAATACATCTTATATGTGCTGTTTGTCCAATGTTTTTCTTCATGCTCAATGTAGTTATTTTAATTGTATCATGTGATATAGACTAGCATAAAGACAATTGATCAACTTGACCTGCTGAGGGAGCAGCAAAAGATTTTGTCTGATGAAGTGGCACTCCATACTAGTGCCTTAAAGAGGTTATCTGAAGAGGCATCTCGGAGCCCTGAGAAGGAACAGATACAAGTATATACCTTAATACTGCCCAATATTTTATTTAATTCCTTCAGCAGTGCATCTTTTGAAAACTGACATTTCTAACATTTAAGGTGGAGATAAGAAAATTGAAAGATGATATCAGAAGGAAGAATGACCAAATATCTTCATTGGAAAAGCAAATTACTGATTCCTTCATGGGTTCTCATGAAAAAATCAGCAACTTGGAGGATTCACAAGTAAGCTTAGTTTGGAAGCTTCTTGTTGAGGACTAGTATGTGTTGACATGTTGTACTAATTGTTGTTTCATGCCTGCAGTCTGTTTCGGAACTTATGGCACAATTGAATGAGAAATCTTTTGAACTTGAGGTAATGAGAAATTATTTCCCCCAACCACATTAGGGAAACAAGGGCATATTTTTAATTTTAGCTGAACTTGAACTCTTAAGGTTACATGTTTGCTACTGTTTGCAGGTTAAAGCTGCAGACAATCGAATAATTCAGGAGCAGTTGAATGAAAAGGTAAAAGATATTTTCTAGCTAATTTTCCCCATACAACCTTTTTGATAAGTTCACATGACTCAAGTTAAGAGAAAAATAATCTCTTTCAAACAGACCCATGAATGTGAACAACTGCAAGAAACAATTGCCTCCTTGAAACAACAGCTTTCGGATGCCCTGGAGCGGAGAAATTCTAGTCCGTCACTTGGTAATTCACAGCAGTTGTCAGATACAAAACGTTGGCTGGGAGAACTTCGAAATGAGAAGGAAAACGCATCATCCAAGGCCACTAAGGAAGCCATACTTCTTCGATCACAGGTTTTCATCTTTGTTATTTGTAGTAGATTTTGATGAAATGATGCATATTTCCTCAACCTGCCTATGACTCTCCTTACTTCTTCAGTCCCGGGTTGTCATCTTATACAATCCTGTAATTTCTTGTCGGGAAAACTAGGGTAGGAAATTATTACTATAGAAGTGCATCCTTTCATTCACCCCAAATATATGCCAAATACAATTTAGGCAAGTGATATTGAAGTGGGCCACCCACAATTGATTTCCTGTACCCACAATTGATTTCCTGTTCTTTATTTCAATAGGCAAGTCAGCTTGAAGAACTCCAACGAAAAGTAGTTGAGCTAACTGAATCAAAAGAGCAACTGGAGCTTCGGAACCAGAAACTGGCAGAGGAGAGTTCATACGCCAAGGGGTTAGCATCGGCTGCTGCTGTCGAGTTAAAGGCACTGTCAGAAGAAGTGGCAAAGCTCATGAACCAAAATGAAAGACTAGCTGCTGAACTAGCAGCACCACAAAAAAGCTCCCCTGCACAGCGAAGAACCAGTATCCCCTCGCGCAATGGACGGAGAGATGGCCATATTAGGCGAAACGATCAAAGTGTGTTAACAACAGATATGAAGAGAGAACTGGCTTTGAGCCGTGAAAGGGAGCTTTCATATGAAGCTGCACTAACCGAAAAGGAACAAAAAGAGGCTGAATTACAGCGAAAGATTGAGGAATCCAAGGAAAGAGAAGCTTATCTTGAGAATGAACTAGCAAATATGTACATTACTGTTGCAAAATTAAAGAAATCTCAAAGCGCTGAAACTGATGCTTCTGAAGCAACAAGAGACAGTCAGATAATTGATGGGTTTGATATTTGGAACAATCCTGCACAGAAAATGGGATTTTAGCAAGTTTCTCCTTGGAAGTAAGAATATTGCTTCAGTCTATTCCACTATTGGGGTTGGTTGTGTATTGCCAGGTTTTTCTTCTTTTTTTTTTTTTTGGCCTTGCGTTTTCTTATTTCAGTTTTGTGATGTAGGGAAGATAACCATAATATTGATGTAAGGGGCCTTTCAAGTTGTATGTATCGAATGGATAAATGGATTGCTCTGTACAAAGTTTTTTCGGTATAATTGACACCACGAAGTAGCTCCAACTGTTGGAATAATTTTTACATGAATTTTTAACTGCTTGGATGGAGTAATTTGAGTGGGTTTCATACTTTCAGGATTTTGCATTTTTTTTAGTGCAAATCATAGCCTTGAAATTTTCACGTTATCCTTCACCGCTGAAACGGACGATTGCATAATTAAGTTTGCTTCTTATTAAGGGGACTATAATAGATAAATTGATAATGTTATATGCGCACAAAATTTTATAAATGAATCTTTAAATAGAAAAGAAAATGTAATTTACACCAAGTTTTATATGTAAAGTTACATAAACTGAAGTAATTTTACCATTCACTAGGACTATGTAGTCCAATGGTACCCGGGTTGGACTTTCATTTGAAAGGTTGTGACTTCGAGCCTCAGTTGTGTTTCAGTAAGTTGAGAAAGTATATGAACAGAACAGATTATCTCAATGTAATAGAGCTAGTAGCATTCAAAAAAGAAGTAATTTTACCATTCGTAATCTTTTTTAACTACTTATTAGTTGATAAATTCCTCAATAGGTTGAGAAAGTATATGAACAGAACAGATTATCTCAATGTAATAGAGCTTGTAGCATTCAAAAAAGAAGTAATTTTACCATTCGTAATCTTTTTTAACTACTTATTAGTTGATAAATTCCATCAAGAATTAATTAAATGAGTAATGCCAATATGTGCAAGGTTGTAAATTGGCGTTGAGACAGAAAATGCAACAAAAGTACCAAAAAGGCAACAAATCAATTTGAAATACCAAAATTGATTGATTTTAAAGTTGAAGACCATATGTTTTATCGTCAAAATATTTAGAGGATCACGAATGACATTAAGCCTTTAAAAACAAAATTCCCTACAATGTTTTTTGTAATGGTGATTTAATTTTTGGATAAAAAGGATCCAATCAACAAATCAAAAAATAACAAGGCCTAACAAATACCAAAATAGATATGGAAAAGAAATTATGGTGAATTAACATCTAAGAAACAATAAACGTGTCTCAACGAATGTATTTAGTTTCATTGGCTTGGTAGGAGCATATCACTACTATTCTAAAAGTGGTGTTTGTGAATTTCAATGATGTAATTTAACAATTATCTAAAACTAATAAAAATACATATATTTAGTCATGCAAATTATAATTTTCCTATTTCATAACCAAGGAAAAATTCGCACCCTCACATATAATCATGTATAGACAATTTATGACGTGTATAGATAGCTCAGTTGGTCACATATGTCAATATAAGAGCAACACTGAGTTATAATGATTTGACTTTTTGGAAATAATATATAAATAATTTATATTTATATATGTATAACGAAGAAAAATAGAAAGCTCATAAATGGCGTCACTATGGGCAAATAGTGTAGTAACAGTGGAGAAACAGTTAACCCGTGCGATGCCAGTATGCGACGCATTATTTATTTTTTATTTTTTTAATATTTAAATATATAAATTTATTGTCATAATTTTCTCACACATAATAAATAGATGCAGAAATCTCATCAGCGCAAACCCCTATCCATCTTTTCTTTCCCCCGCCACGGCGCTACTCACACAACACATCTTATTTCCAATTCACCGCTTTTGCTATGCGCTTCGCTGATAAAAATGGATTGATGCATATTTATGTTTTTTTTATTTTAATTTGTTTCTGTTAATTTCACTTCTGGATCTAGGAATTTGTTATAGATATACTCTTGTTAGGGGGCAATCGTTTTTGTTTTAATTGGATTTGTGTTAAGGGATTGATAATTTGAATTTGATTGAGTATTGGTGGAGGAGATGACATGATTTGTGCACCAATAGAATAGAATAAAAAATGCCTGGAATAGCGCAGAGAAATGATCATGAATACGCCGACGGCGCGGCGGTGTTGTTTAATGGATCCGTTTCCAGCACTGGGTTCTGGTCAAAACATTGTGACGATGTCAGCTACAATCAGCTCCAGAAGGTAGTGGGTTTCGAGGGATGAATGGATTTGCTAGTTTTTGTGTTGTTAATTTTATTGAATTCATGTTTGGGGCACTCGATGGATTTGTATTTGTGGTGAGTTTTTTATTGGCAGAGTGTGTTAATTTGGGTCTTAGTGTACTAGAGCTGGTTGGTTATTGGGTTGAACTATGAAGATTTGATGCATATCTGCTACTCTGACAGTAATTTATGCCCTTTGCTATAAAGAAGAAATAGGATGTAAAGTAATAAGTTTTTTCTGTTTTTAAATTTTGAACTGTGGATGACTGAAGAGGAGGGCAGTGATTAATGAGTATTGGTGAACTTATAACTTACATGCTTACTTGGTATCTAAAATACTGAATAGACATAAATCGGTACTCAAGGAATTCAAATTGGCTGTTGGTAGTAACGGATATATGCTTTGTGATTACTAGTTTATTAGCGTTTCAGTAATGGGGATTTTCTTTTTGGTTTGTGTTTAGTTTTGGAGTGAGCTGTCATCGCAAGCTCGTCATGAACTTTTGAGGATTGATAAGCAAACCCTTTTTGAGCAAGCTCGTAAGAACATGTATTGTTCTAGATGCAACGGGTTACTGCTGGAAGGTTTTTATCAAATTGTCATGTATGGAAAGTCGTTGCAAGAGGAGGGAGTGGGCATACCCCATCCATGCAATAGCCTAGGGACTTTGAAAAATCAAGGTGAAGATGATGTACAAGCTCCGTCTGTACATCCTTGGGGAGGTCTAATCACAACTCGAGACGGGGCTCTTACCTTGCTAGACTGTTATATATACACAAAATCTATGAAGGGGCTGCAAAATGTAAATATTATTTTAGTCTGCTATCAACGTCTTTAAAAAACATAAATAATCGTTTTAGTTTTCTATCCATTCCTTTTGTAGGTTTTCGACAGCGCACGTGCAAGGGAGCGGGAAAGAGAATTGCTTTATCCTGATGCCTGTGGTGGAGGTGGCAGAGGGTGGATAAGTCAAGCTATGTCAGGTTATGGAAGAGGGCATGGAACGAGAGAAACATGTGCTCTCCACACTGCCAGACTCTCTGTTGACACATTGGTGGATTTCTGGTCAGCCCTTGGAGAAGAGACTCGGCAGTCACTTTTAAGAATGAAAGAAGAGGATTTTATTGAAAGGCTGATGTACAGGTGTGTCTCATGCATCATTTTGTTTGAAGTAAAAATTGTCACTTATTTTCCAAATAAAAGATCTTTTCTTCTTGCCCAGTTATTTAATTTGTTGTACAAGAGTGATATAGATATTGTATGTATTAAACTATTTACTTGATGCTCCTTGAGGATAGTGACCCTTTGCCCCATCAGATAAGATAGATTGCAAATTTGGCTTAACAGTTCACTTCTGATGTTTAGTCTCGAGATTCACTTCAACTGAGGGGCTGTAGTTTAACTACTAGTATACCCACTTCTTGGCGTGAATGCGTTGATATCATGATTATAGAATTGTAGTTTGAAGTGTAAGGTGGAATATAATGCAATGGTGCTCTAGGGCTTTAAGTGCAATGCAATATGGAGGCACACAAACAAAGCATGTAGAGAACATTGCAATGCTTAGTATTAACTAAAAAATAAAGGAATATTGACCTCAAAAGAAGATCTACTAATGAAAAGCATATTCCTCCAAGAAAGTGGTTGATACAAGTAAAAGGAATTATCACCCTTTTATTAATTAGGATTTTTTTGCTGCCTAAAATACTTTAGGAAAGGAATTGTCAGTTGTTACTTTGACTTATTTAGTTATATTAACTGAACACTCATTGGGCTTTAGTTTAGGGTTTCTTTAAATTTGATCAAAGTGTCATGCCTATTACTAAGTTGTTATCACATGCAACAATCAACATGCTTATTTTGAATATAGACCTAAGCAGAATTTTGTTTAGGAAAAAGCATCAAATAGGCCATCAAACTTTTTCTATTTGTACAATTGGACCACTGAATAAAAGAAGTGTGCAATTAGACCGTTTAACAATACAAAAATTTTGCAATTGGCGTTTTTTGCAGGTAAACAACAAGTCTCCGGTAACCTTTTGTTATAACTGCCACTTGGAAAAAATTATAACATTTTTCTTTAATTTATTAACAAATATATCATATTAAAAATATTAAAAAAAAAAAAAAGAAAAGAAAAGAAAAAAGAGGATGCTGCCTCCTCCTCAAATCACAGGCGGCAGCCACCTCCTCCTTCCTCAAAGGAGGAGGCATGGTTGCCTCCTCCGTAGATCGGGGTGGAGGAGGAGGCAAACAATGTTGTAGAAGGCGCTAGGCGCTGGTCGGGCGCCCTAGCGCCTAGGCAGGCGACTAATAAAAAAAAAGGCAGGCAGTGTACCTTTGCTAAAAACACTCCGGCGAGGCTGTCTGCGATGAACGAGGAGCTTGGCTGTGGCGCTGTGCTGCAGTGCTGAGACGGTGAAGCTGGCTGTGCGACAAGCCGATGACACTGTGGAGTGTGGGGTGGCTTTGCGACGGCGAGGCTGTGTGTGAGGCGACGGAACTCAAAAGGGAAGCGAGAAGGGACGGCGAGGCTGGCTGTGCACGATTTTTTGCAATTTGTTTACCTTTTTTGGGGGTTTAGGGATTTTAGCACATTGGGATTTTTTTAATTTGGTTTATTTTGCTCAAACGATGTCGTTTTGAGCAAAATAAACGCACCCCCCCCCCCCCCTCCCCCCCCCAAAAAAAAAAAAAAAAAAAAAAAACCTTGGCCAATTGGCCTACTATTTGGTAGGCCACCTAAATAGCGCCTATGAGTGAAATCCCTTCGGTCTAGTGGTGCCTAATGTCTAATCGGCCTCTAGGATTTTTACAACACTGGAGGCAAAGCTGCCGCCTCCTCTGTCCGTCGCAGACGGAGGAGTCCTCAGTAAGCATTAAAGTATTTTAAAATAAAATAAAAACTGATGATTGTACTGTTGACCGGTTCTACCTTGAAGCAACCTGCTATAAATGTTAATTGCACAAATTTATAGAGTTAAATGATTCAATTGCACGAACTGTACAAATTGGCCTATTCGACACTTTTTTGTTTATTATTATTATTATTTTTTTATTT